AGAGAGAGAGGCGGGCATGCGCAAGGGGAGCGCTCTCAAGGCCGCAATGTCTGGAAATCAGGGTCATATAACCTGAACTGTGGGGTGTCTCTTCCCTACAAGAACCTGATTGAACCTTACCCCATTTTCTCCCATTGGTTATCTTATGATACCCAATTAGAATATTTTTCTACCCCCCATCCCCCATTGGTTACTTTAGAAACCTAATTAGAATACTGCCCACTTTACTTCTATTGGTCATTTTAAAATTTAAACCTGAAGAAGGAGTTGTCATGGTAATGGGATTTGTTGTAAATAGGGACAGGACTCCTCTCTGTCTTGCTTTCCAACAACTTCTTTTTAATACCCTGTCTCTGCCATCTTGGTGTCCCTTATTTCCTTCCTAACATTTTGTTATAGCAATAGGAATGGACTAAGATAGTTAATAAAGGTCTCCAACCTCAGAAAGTCTTAAAATGTAAGTATAGAGAATGTAGTAATTCAAGCTTTTTAAAAAATATTTTATGTAAAATCTGGGGATAAACTGTGAAAACTGGCATTTAAAGTATTTGTAATAATTAAGAATTTTGCATTTTAGAGTCTAACAAATTCATTTAGTGATTCCAATATATGTATTTTTAACTTAGACTTTGATTTTTAAGTTGAAATGTGTGAGAATTATAGTAAGTTTATAAATAGCATCATGATTGCCAGACTTTACAATCACTACCTATACAGCTATTTTATCAATCTTATTAGAATTTTTAAGTGCTTAACAAAGTTTTGTATATTAGACAGCTGCAAAGCTTAAAAAAAGAATTAAATTTAAAAGTACAGTTTAAAACATCCAAAGAAATTTAAGTAGTTCAATTACAAGAACCCCTTAAAAGCAATTACTGAATCCACTAGATTTATACATAATTAAATTGTGGGTTGAATTTAAAAGCTTAAAAATTAGTTTTACTGCCAGGTGCAGTGGTGCATGCCTGCCATCCCAGCAGCTAGGAAGGCTGAGGCAGGAGGACTGCAAGTTCAAAGCCAGCCTCAATTTAGTGAGGACCTAAGCAACTTAGTGAGACCCTGTCTCAAAATAAAATGTAAAAAGGGCTGGGGATATGGCTCAGTGGTAAAGTGCCCCTGGGTTCAATGCTCAGAACCAAACAAAACAAAAACTTAGTTTTATTACTTTAATAAATTACATAATTTGAAAAATTCTGTACTGATTAATTGCCCTTCTGGAATTCTAAAATTCTGTATGAGATACAATGACTTGATATCACTTTTCTGCCAATTAAACTAAAAATTTATTGAGCAACAGAAGTGCTATCTTCTTCCTTATTACCTAGTACAAGAATGGCCAGAAGAGTAGGCAGGTCACTCATGATATCAGCAGCTAATATTTAGTGAGTACTATAGGCCAGGCACTGTGATAGGACTTTATAATCTCAAGGAATCCTCACCACAACCCATTTATAGTTGAGGGAAGGAACAGCAATGACCCAGAAAGTTTCAAAAATTCCCAAGTTCACAGACAAGTGTTGGAGCACTGAGCTTAATTCCAGGTTCTCTGATTCCAGGGTTACTCCTTCCCTTAACCCTTACCTTGTTGGTTGAATAGATGAAATCCCTTAGTAGTGGGGCTTGTGACAGCATCATTTGATCTGAAATGACAACATGCAATGCTAGAGACATGGATGTGAACTGTTCCAAGTGGATAATTAACCAGCTTAAGGATCCAAGATATCGGATCCAAGATACAGGTGGAGATTCCTGGACATGTGAGGAAAAATTAAAAAGCCAGGTATTCCTTAAAAGACAGAAAACATGAAGATTCCGGAAGAAAGGAGATAAGGAATGAAGGAGAAGGGGGTTTGGCTTCAATTGAAGTGATTAGGAAAGCCTGGTTCACATTTTATTTATGGAGGTCCAGGGAATATTTCCTTCAGTGTCTGTTAGCTGTGTGGCATTTTGATTTGGAGCTGAGGTCTAACACTGGATAGCCCAAACTAACCAAAATGATTTCTCAGGGACAAAGGAAATGAAAGAGAAATCTTTAGCACTGGTCTAAGGAAGAAGTATGAGAGGATAAGTAAGGCTGGACAACCCAGATCAAGGAACAGTATAAGAGGGACTAACTGGTCTTGAAGTGAAACCAAGCAAAACCACCCATTAAAAATTTGGTTATTGTATTAACTTACGGCAAATTATGCACAGCAAGTTTATGCTTTCAATCTGTAGTTAGCATCCAGATACAAAGATGCTATGGTAGTTTTTTGTATTCTGAACTTCAAATGTGTAATGACTGAAAAATGAGGGAAGAGAATCAGAAATAAAGTGGGAAAGCATAGTGTGCCCTCAGCCTACCTGACAGCAAAGCCAAAGAGGATTTTATGTGCTGTGCTGGATAACAGGCAGATAGGCAGGGAACTACTAACCTCTGGTGAAATGGCTTTAGACTTTTAAACCATGGTTGCCTTGCCTAATCCCAATCAAGTCTCAAGACAAGAGTACAGCATGAATCAATCCACCTTCATATATAGAAGCTACTAAACCAAATTAGTAACATTCTATTAAAATTTCCATTAAAAAAAAAAGAGTATAGCATAATGCCTTTCCATGGCATAGATCATAGCCCTACCTACCAAAAGGAATGGTATAAGCTCCTTGGAAATCTGTGAGTATAATATTTGATTATCACAATGATTGAAGAACACTATAGGCATTCCATGGGAGGGAATTGGAAAGAGTGAAAATACCATGGTGTCACAATATGAAAATAAAAAACTGAAACACATGTTACACGATTTTCAAAAACCAACTGATAGTCATCCCAACTTAAAATCTGTTTTACAGGTATAAAAGGTCTTTTGGTATGGGCTTAATATATTCTTTGTTTTCTAAGAGTGTAAATCTAGGAAGGATTATATTTTGTTCTGAACTTTACAAGAAGTCATTTACTATTGCAGAAATCCACATTACTTTCAAATAGCAATGTGGGCTATTACAGACAGTGGTACATGCCTATAATCCCAGCAACTTGGGAGGTTGAGGCAAGAGGATCAAATTTGAGGCTATCCTCAGCAACTTAAACCCTGCCTCAAAATAAAAAAATAGTCAAAGTCTCGGTAGTAAAGTGCCAATACAAGGAGAAAAAAAAAAAAAAAAATGCAGCTCACAGTATAAAGTGACCAATCACACCAACTCCTGCATCAAATTAGTCTGTATCTGTTGGTGTAGCATCCATGGTGGTTCCCAGATGGATGCAAGCCACTGGCAACTTCATTTTGCTGTCAATGTCACTGTGCTCACACATCTGTTATCAGGCTGTATATTACTTTCCTTTAATGTTTTGTTTAACTTACTGTCTTAGGTTGGGTACATAGCTCAGTTGGTAGTGTGCTTGCCTTGCATGCACAAGGCCCTCGGTTTGATCCCCAGCACCACCAAAACAAAACAAAAACCCTTACTATCTTAATTGTGTATTTTTCCTTTCTTTTATAAGATAAGGCATTATATTATATTTTGATTACATGTGCAGAGAGATTACAGTAACCATGACTTAAGAAAAAATATCCTGGTTGAATTACAGTCTTAGAGAAAAAAAATACATAGCATCATAAATTATGATAAAAATAAATGAGAAATAGCATTGCTAGAAAAAAGTAAGTATTTTGTACATTACAGAATTACTATTTACTATTGCAGAAGTTCTTTCAAATCAAATCTGCCTGTTTGTGCCTACTGATCAGCTTATGGCCAACAGGAGAATTATCCAAAATAAAAAGAAATATCTATTCTGAAGAAAAATATATAAAGCTGGAGTTGGTCTCCTTTCCCTAATATGCTGATTCTCACATATTAGTGTGCATGACAATAAAAATAAAATTCCAGGGCCCTCCTTCCCAAGGTTCTGACTCAGTGGGCCTGGGGTGGAGCTGAAAATCAACCTGGATTAGTAACAGGAAGCACACTGATCTCTGTAGGACCTCTGCTGGACAGCAGTGCTGTTCACATTTTAATGTGCACACAGACCTTCTAGGAGCCTGGTTAAAATACACGTTCAGATTCAACAGGTCTGGGATAAGGCCTAGGAGTCTTCACTTTTAATGAGTTCCCAGGTGATACTGATGCTGCTGATCCAAGGAGCACACTCTTGCTCACTTAAGGACAAAACAATTCTGGAACATGCAGAGAGGACAGATGGAAAACTCCCCTTCAACATTCACGTACCTTCCTCTGTAAATTACTATAACTGGACAGGGTTTTTACCGACCTTCCTGGCATACAGATCAGGGAACTGAAATCCAGTGAACAGTGACAAACCTTGGGTCCCTTAGGATGATGTACAGACTTTGCCACAAATCATGGAAGTTTTTAACCATAATATGCTGAGGGATTTGCCAATGCTAAACCAATCATTCACTTGGATCTTGGCTGCAATATTAACAAATTATGCAAAAAGTTCTATTTTGTATGAGTCAGCGTCACTAACAACAGGATGAAGCATCTCTTTGCATTGAAAAGGAATCTGTCTATACCCAAGTGTCTGAAATAATCTGAAAGTGTTCCTAACAGCATGGGTGGGGGCCTCAGATAGCATAGATCCAAGATCTACTCTTAAGAGTTTAAGAATCCATGTCTATAGACAAGGTTGTTAAATACACATACTGGTTTTTCCCCCACTAAATGTATAAACACCTTTAAAATAAAATTTAAAAATATCTTAGCATGAATAAATTCAGATTCTTAAGGGACACTGCATACACCCCATTTAATTTGGAAACTAAAAGTCAGTCATATATCCTCTGGGATCATCAATATTTTGGCAATGAAGAGGGAAACTAAGTCTTCTAAAACATATGCTAGAAGTGGTTCAACAGGAGGGAATTCAAATCCTCCAACATTTCAGAGGATAAATGATATACAATGTCACTGTAATATATATTTAAAGAAAACTATACTCAAGTTTTAAATGGCTGGGATTTCTTATTGTATAAATCAAGACAGAAAACACTGCAGAATTTACTCCTGGATGTTTAATAGAAGGATCTTATTCACTATGTACAGGATCCTCTAAAGAATGTAAGTTGCTTACTAGCCAGGTGATCCAAATGACACCAGAAATCAAGGCTGTTCAAGGGGCACTAAACGTTGACAGTCTTGGCAGGTTTCACATCCTCAATTTCAGAAGACAGCCAGCGATAAGTGCGATGACGCCGCAGCACTTCAATGGCCTTGAGTTCCAGCGGAGATGCCTGAATACCAAGGTCTTCTAAGCCAGGCAGATGAGGCAATGTCATGTCTGTGATGTGTATCTTTGAATAAACAAAGGACCATAGAGAATGCTGAAAAGTGGCCAAGAACACAAAGTGCTACCCTAGCAAACATTTGAATACTTAAGCTGGCCTGAGTCTCATTACTGAGAGTGTTTTCAAAGAATGTGGTAATTTTTGATTATTGGAACTCACTAAAATACAGAACACAGAAAGAGGGCTTATGGGGTGAAAAAGGGAAGATCACCAAATATCAGATAAAAGTACCCAGCACTATGCACAAGCATAGGACATTAGCATTGGACCTGGTCTTCATACAGATGTAAACAGAACTAAATCTAGTGTATGGAAGCACCAGTCATCACGTTAGTCGAGGTGGTTTAACAGGAAGGCTCAGGAATAAAATTGGAGGTGGAAAAATGAGAATTCATACCCCATTTGAATCAAATGTATGATATGTCAAGAACACTGTATTGTCTTGAGCAACTAATAAAAATAAAAACATAAAAAAATAAAGAAGAACACATCCACCTCCCAGTTCTCTCTTGTGCAAGTTCTGAGCGAGGTCTCAGAACTTTCTAATCAAGGAGATCGCAAGAATTTATTCCTTGCCCAGTAAGAGATAACCCATTAAACTTTTTTGCTCCAACTATACTCACCTGGTTGTGTAATGCTCACTGTAAAGTTAAAAACCAAACCCATCCTGTTTAGGAAAGGAGAATGAAATGGAAAGTCCCAGCTTATCCCAAGGCCCTGAAATAGAACCAGTCTTCATCTAGGTCAGCATCAATCCCTCATCCTAACCACCCCCAAACGTAAAATTATTTTACTAAGTGCTGTAAGGTAATCTCCAAACCAAATCCAAAATCCCTTCTGTCCACTGCAACTACATCTTCTCAACTGTCAATATAAGAGGGATGTTAGTGTCAATCAAGTCTCTTGCCCAGTGTGTCAATATAGAAGGGACATCCCGGAAATGATCTCAACCTCCAGACATAGCCCTCAAAAGGGAGAATGAGTTGCCCATTCACATGCGTTCCCTGATGACTATTTTCTCATCTGCTGTACATTTTAGCTTCTAGGTAACATTCAGGCAACAATTTAGCTGCTTCTCATCAGTGCAAGGTCTGCAGCATTTCTGGGGTAGAATTAGTCTATAGGATTTTTATTTTACTTGGCATCCTCCCTATAAGCACTTGTACACACAGTGGGCAAATGATCAATGAGTTAGATGAGTGCAGGAGACAAAAGAGCCAGAGCTTTGGAATTTAGCACACTGCAGGACAAATGTAGTGGCAACAGTAGCAAGAAGCTAGCTAAGAGAGGAAGAAATGTTGTCTGATGGATTAGAGTGGTAGAGATAATTATACAATCTGCTTTTTTATAAATTAAAAGCTTCCAATATTATTATAAACATTTTCATAATAAAAGGCAGGGGGACTAGGGAAGAGCACTAGATCTGGCATCTACTTTTGAGAGTTGCTGAGGGTTGCTGAGTTCTGAGATCCAGTACAGTAAGCCACTTGCCAAATGTGGTGCTTTAAATTTAAATTAATTAAAATTCAAATTTCATTCCTGTGGTCATAGCAGCAGCATTATTAGGTGCTCAATAGCCACATGTGGCCAGTGGCTACATATTACTAGAAACAGAACATTTCCATCATGCAGCAAGTTCTATTGATAGTGCTCATTTAAATCTAGAACTTGGGAAAGGACTCAAGGGGGTTACTAGATTTTTGGCATAAGCAATGGAGAGTAGTACTATTATTGACATGAGAAACCTAGGAAAGAAGCAGGTTTGCAGTTATATTTATGGAGTTATGTTTCAGAAAATTTAATATAAATAGTTTTATATCTAACTATTTAAGATTCTAAAAAGTTCAGGGGGAAATTCAGGACTAGAGATAAAATTACAGCCATGACCTTAACAGCCAGCAACTGGTGCTTGAGATGAGGTGAGCAACATCTACAAAATGAGTAAAGATAGAAAAGAAAGGCACAAGGACAGAGCCTGTAGATCCCCCATTACACAGAAGCAGGTGAGGGCAGGTGAGGCAGAAAGACAGCTCTGAAAGCACAACTCAGTAAGAGAACAAAAAGCAAGAGAACATGAACTGGGCCAGAATGCATGTAAGAGTTTCCAAATGGAGAGAAGGGTCCCCTCTGATAAACGTGTTCACAGATGGAGTGAGATGAGGTCAGAGAACTGACTATTGGATTTGGTGGTGTGCACAATATAGGTGCCGTTGGAAAGAGCAGGTTTAGGCAGAGAAGAGAATAAAAGCCGGAAAAGGCTTAAAGAATGATTAAGAAGCTGTGAAAAGAAGGTAAAGAGTGCTCTTTGAGCTTAAGAGGTAAAAAGGCAAACAGGAAAGTGGCTAAAACGGACATGTGAGGAAGAGAGGGTCTGGCCTTTAATAAGGAGTGGGGTATTAGATATGTCCATATGCTGATGGAAATGATCCAGTGAGAAAGAAAAACTGATAGTATCAGAGAGAAGACAATGGAGCAGGATGAGAATGAATGAATTTTCATGCATGAATAGAGGGGCTGAGCTCAGCCAGAAAGAGTATCAGACAGAATTATGGCAATGTTCCCAGTGGGCCAATAAAAGTAAATTCTCACTTCCCCGTCTGCAGCTCTCAGCCCAGCATGTGCCTGGGCACACTCACCCGTTCCACTTTATCCCTCGTTGTCCAGGGCTCAAATGGGCTTATTTCAAAGAGTCTTGCTATCCATCTGGAAAAAGAAATAACATGTGATAAACATTTCTATGCCCAATATTTAAGCTACCCTGTAAGACCTACAGGAAGAGGGGCTTCTGGAGAAGCAGAAATTCATTGATTTTTTTTTTTTTTAATTTAAGAAAATAATGAACACTCCTGGCTCTACCACTTATAAGGCTAACTCTGCTTTTGAGTCCCTATTTCCTTTCAAGAAAACCCAGCTGACTGCTAGAACTGAGGGCACACCCTATTCTCCAAAGAGACATAGATTTTAACAACTGAAAACTAAAATAACATATTACCAATGAACAACAAAGAAAACAAAAAAGATACAGCATTCAATCAAGTCTGTGAAATTCAATCTAATCTAATTCTCATTCAAATATGCTACTGTTAAAGACGTAGTGTGTAAAATATAAAACTTAATTCCTAAAAGGAGAGGCCCTGGAAACAAAAAATTTAGAAAAGAAGCCTAAGGTCTATAACTCAAATCAAGAAAGGATATAAAAACCAGAGCTCCTGGCTCTTCAGCCCTAATGACACTGAGGGTTCTCCTAACCTGCCACTGAAGTTCCCATCAGTGGCATCTTCAGGACAGTGCGGTTTCAACTAGCCGCACAATTTTTTTGTTTGCTTGATACTGGAGATTGACCCCAGGGGCACTCTACTACTGAGCTACATCTCCAACCCATTTTTTAAATTCTTAAATTTCGAGACAGAGTCTTAGTTAGTGACTTAGGGCTTTGCTACACTGCCAAAGCTAGGCCCAAACCTCCTGCCTCAGTCTCCTGAACTGCTGGGATTACAGGTGTATAATACCACACCACACCTCACAGCTTTTAAGAGATTGCAAAACACCATTTCCATGGATGGAATAAGAAGTAAAAAAGGAAGTTGAAGGTTGCTCAGAATTTCTTTGGCAACAAATAAAAATCTCAGATTCCAGCCTACCTGTCCCAATGGCAGAAAAAATTCTTTACTAGGCTAATGTAACTTAAATAAAAATTAAACCCCTTACAAGCTTCCAACTCCCTATGCACTGGTTCTATGCTAATATCTCCTCTGGTCTCTATTTTGATGTCCTCAGTGGGTCATACCACATGCACACGCAATTTCTGTCTTTAACTCTCAATTTTATGTACAACCACAAAAGTACCTTGCTATAATCTGGTTTTAGCCCCTCCATCACACTGATGCTGCCATGGGTATCTTTTGGTCCTTTATCGTATTTGAATTATCTGGAGCATTTCAGTGAGCAAATATTAAGAGAGTACCTTCTTTATGCTAGGCACAGTTTCTGGTGCTGGAGATACAGATGTAAACAAAACAGCAATGTCCTCTTTCTTGGAGCATTCATCTTCTTAAAACCTCCCTTCCCTTTGGTATCTAGGCTTCCAGATTCTTTTCACTTGCCACTTAACTGATCCCTCTCTTTGAGCTGCTGGGTAAGTTTCTCATACTCTGAAGGTTCTTTAATGGGAATATTCTCCAGGCTTCTGCGGACTCCTCCTTCACTCCCTCTACACATTTCCCCTACCTATTTTATAGAGTCATTAAGAGTATTATTAGATGAAGAAAACAACCAGGAAACAGAACACTCTTGACAAATACTGCACTCTGTTTTTCTTTTCTTTTGGGGGTGCAGTGGGGCAGTACTGGGGATGAAACCTAGGACCTCATCATGCACCTCCCACTGAGCTGCACCACTAGTCTCCTTGTCTATTTTTCTAATAACCCTGTAGACCATAAGCTTTGTGAGGGTTGACTGTAACATCTGAGTAACTAGTACACTGCTTAAGATGGTAGGAATTCATTAAATATGTGTTGAGTGAATATATGTTGAACAAAGGAATGAAAGAGTAAATTGACAAGCTGGCTTACTAATCAACCTCTGGCAAACTAGATGTGAAAATCTCCTTGATCTGACCACTATGGTGTGACATGAGGAGTGCAAGACTTTAAACACACAAAGGGAAGAACTGAACTAGAAGCAGGAAAAGAAGAGAAGGCAACCACAGAACCAACTCTGAATCAGCATGGCTCCTCTCCCCCAAAGATTTGATCAAAAGAGTTTAAGGAAAAGAGGAACTTTTCCCACCTCTGAGAGAGGAGTATGAGAGAGAAATTTGATTGCTCCCTTACAGTCTGTCAAGAAGGACACTTACCCAAATTAAAACCCAGTGGTTTTTTTAATGAAGACTATGAAGAACATCCCAACAAACACTGTTTATTTCATCTATGCTAATCTATATTTCTCTTTCTTAAATACCTTGATTCTTCCCTAGGCTAATGTCATAACACCAGAAGTACTTCCTGTGAAGTTCAGAGACTGACCCTTCACTGTATAGAACACACTCCCTATTACCCTAGGGTGGCAGTTAGGAATAAGTGTATGGAGTTAGCTTTTTCAGATGGTGCCTAAAAGCACTTTACTTACCGATAGGCAAAACGTGGCAAGGGATAGGGGAGAAAGGGTCTGTGAGCCACAGCAAAGACATACTGCACCAGGTCAAAGAGGAGGTACCGATTGGGCCTAGAAAAAGCAAACACAGTTCTTCAAATTATTTGCTTTCACAAGTTTTTTAATTTAACAAAAAAACATTTTTCTTAAAACAGCATGGCTAGGCACAGTGAGGCACACCTGTAATCCTAGCAGCTCAGGAGGCTAAGACAGGAGGATCATGAGTTCAAAGCCAGCCTCAGCAAAAGCGAGGCGCTAAGCAACTCAGTGAGACCCTGTCTCTAAATAAAATACAAAACAGGGCTGGGGATGTTGCTCAGTGGTTGAGTGCCCCTGAGTTCAATCCCTGGTA